TTTAGATTTTCTTTCTTTTTTTAAATTAAAAAACAAACATAAGTAGGGTAATTAATTGATCAGGCTATCAGTTAATTAAGCAAACAAAAAATAAAAACACTTAGGCGTAAAAAGAAGACAAAAAGGCGTTTTGATAGCTTTGGTCAGTGCTCACTCACCCTTGGAGTACTTCCAGGCGGTCCAGAGATCGTCCACAGAGATGAGCTTGTCGTTGTTGTGGAAGAGAGCCTGCCGCTCAAAGCCGTCCGTGTACTGCAGCTCGTCCCGAAGGAACTGTAGACACAAGAAAACAATAATTATTGTCATGTATTTTTTAGTTTTTGTTTTGTTTTGATCTGTTTTCTCTATTTCGTCTGTTTTGTTTTGTTGTTGTTGGGTTGTGTTTTTTTCGTTGTCGTTTTTCTTTATTTTTTGTTGGTCCGTTTTGTTTTATTTTGTTTTTTTCTTGATGTTTTGTTTTGTTTTTGTTCTGTTTAAGTAAGCTTTTTATTTGTTCGTTTGAGTAAAGAGAAGCACATTGACACAATAATGGCAATTCAGTGCTGGGGAACAAATTAAGACGGACAGTCAGAAACAACAGAGGAAAAGCAAAGAAGTAGGACCAACCAAAGGCGCCCTCCAACCAGCCACCCGCATTAGTAAGCGCTTTACGGCACTAGCAACACAATCAGGGTATACACGTGCCGAATATTAGAAATGTAACTACAGAGTGACAAACAAAAAAAAAAGAGGAGAAATCAGGACAATAGACATCTGATTGGGAAAGAAGGACAGTAAACCACAACAGAGCACCCGCCAACCACACACGACAGTGACTTAAAGGTCGTGCACCAATCTGTAGCCACCACCTCTACTTTCACCTTTGTTTTTCCATGTATTGTCACTCTTTCGCCAATCATGACCACAGTATAAGATAGATACCCCCATTTGGTTAAAACGATAGAAAGTATTTGTTTCGGTAAAAGTAAGACGGCACTTACAACACAATCAAATTATATAAGTGCCAAAGAATAGAAGTGTTACAAGAGAGTAACAAACACAAAAAATGAAGAGAGATAAGGACAATTAGATGTTTGACAGGAAAGAAGGAGCAAATCACACCAGAGCACCCGCTCACCAACCACACTTAATTAAGTGGTTAATTAAATTACACCGCCACTGACAGTTTAGATCATTTAAGAAGCGGACTTTGACCCAGCCTGCCAGGGCCAACCCGGGCTGAGAGAGAAAGTCTACGTAGGCCGTTCCAGCAGAAGACTGAGATACTCGATCAATAAAAACTGACTACAAGAGACATCAAAGCGCCTAACAGTTACAGCACAGACGCCGGTCATATCCTTGCCATATCCCTCGATGGGTAAAAACGATTTAAAAAAACAAAACAAAAAGGAAGGCTGTCAGTATGTTAGTACCTTACACCCCCCTCCCCAACTGACATAACGTAGACAGCCTCGTTTGGTTAAAATGATAAAAGTAAGGTTGTTAGTATGTTAGTACCTTACGACCCCCC